GGGGGGGTGTGTCAGTCTGCAGCTTTAACACCTGTTCTGGAGAACAACATTCACAGAATTCCTTTCTGCTGCTGCCCTTTTTTCTTTTACAATGCTTGGTGATGTTCTGCTTATTCTTGACTTGTGTCTGTCCCTTCACTTCTTCTTTTCTCATCCAGAACACACACTGAACACGGACTGCACTTTTCTTCACCACAACATCACACTAACACTGCAGGCAGGCATGTGTGTGGTCTGCACAGAAGGCTGATTCATACCGTTTCAAAGAAAAAGAGAGAACTGGAGATCAGAGTTGAGAGACCTTTCATTAACCCGATTGAGTAATTTGTTGCACGACTATGAATACTGTTGTCCATGCAGTGCAATCCATCAAACTGGCTTATAGTTCTGCTCTTCTAGCTGCATGTCAATTAGAAATACAACACTGCACATCCAAGCTCCACTCCCAACAGCATCATGTTCTCCATTAAGTCACTGGGAACCAAACACACACAATGTCAAACAGCTGTTCAATCTAGAGGATAAGCTCATTACAAGGGTGTCGCATCTCGGGCAGCACACACTGCCAATAAACAGTGACTGAGATTTGATGTCAAGGACGCACAGACGACATTTAATACAGAAGCAGCCAATGACCTATTGATCCAAGTTTTCAAGTTCATTACAGTCTTCAGAGGGAAGGATGACTGGTACTTGTGCTTTAAGTTGCAGTTTGAATACATTTTTTCAAGCCTGTTTTCATCATGCATGTATGTGCACTGGGAATTATAAGCTTTGAAAATCAATATACTAAGAAGGTTGTCAGCTCTGGCAAGGTTAAATACCAAAGAAACAACACTACAGAGGCAAATGTGTGTGTTTGAGAGTGTCTGTAAGCTTGTCAATGTAGGTTTGTCCCTATTTATCCTTTTTAAAACCATTTACATTGTTCAGTGTCTCAGCTATTAATGTGTTTCCATAACTAAGTACACCAGAGAGTTATGAGATTAAAGTGAAATGGAGAATGAATGACTCCCAAGGAGGATTATGGGTAATGCTTCAAGACACGATGGCTGAATGAAGACGCAAAGGCAGTGAGGAAGAAGATGTGTGTGTTTCAAAATCTGGTCTCAATGACAATTGCTTCCTGTGTGTATACAGTGTGTGTTCAGTGTGTGTCTGTGTGTTGAAATGCTGTAGAAACACCCCAAAGCTGCTCCACTGAGGATGATGCTGCCCAGTCAGGAGGGGGGGATGGGCTCATACTCGCCAGTGGTAGTATACTGTACACCGTCTGACATCATAGTGAGGGCGGGGGAGGGGAACCTCACGTGCACAAGCTCTGAGGGCCCTACCATCAGCCCCAACAACCATCCACACTACATACAGAGTCTACTCTTGTCCCCCATGC